CTTCTTTCTCCGCAGTCTGATTCTTATCCAGCCAGTTGATGATCTCATTACACTTGTCAAGAATCTTCTGTTTATCTTCATCATTAATCTTGCCTTGCAGCATCTCATCTTCAACAGTAGCTTTCATTGAAAGCATAGGATTCCAATGAGTTCTTGGAGGACACTTTGTCCCTTTGCTTCTCTTCTTCAGCTTTGTACTTCTCTGCTTCCTGGACCATACACTCTATGTCCTCCTTGCTCAAACAGCCCTTATCATTAGTGATGGTAACCTTGTTCTCTTTTCCGGTATTTTTATCAACTGCAGAAACACTGAGGATGCCACTGGCATCAATATCAAAAGTTACTTCAATCTGAAGAACACCACGGGGTGCGGGAGGTATGCCTGTGAGTTCAAACTTGCCAAGCAGGTTGTTATCCTTGGTCATGGCTCACTCACCTTCATATACCCAAATGAGCATGCCAGGATGGTGGTCCGAGTAGGTAGTGAAGGTCTGGGTCTGCTTGGTAGGAATGGTGGTATTGCGCTTGATGAGAACTGTCATGACACCACCAGCAGTTTCAATACCAAGAGAAAGAGGAGTGACATACAGCAGCAGCAAATCTTGAACATTTTCAGACTTGTCTCCAGATAAAATGGCTGCCTGAACCGCTACACCATAAGCAACAGCCTCATCAGGACTGATGCTCTTATTCAATTCTTTTCCATTGAAGAAGTCTTGTAAAAGCCTCTGGATCTTGGGGATACAGTAAAACCGTCCACTAGGACAATGTCATGGATCTGAGACTTGTCCAGTTTGGCATCTTGAAAAACCTTCTCCACAGGGTCTAGAGTGCCACGGAACAGGTCAGCATAAACTCTTCAAAGCAAGCATGGTAATGGAGGTGTAGAAGTCGATTCCTTCATAGAGAGAATCAATCTCAATACTGGCTTGGGTGCTAGAAGAGAGGGTTCTCTTAGCTCGCTCACATGCAGTACGCGAACGGCGGACAACTCTTTTGTTCTCACTGATGTCCTTCTTGTGCTTGTGCTTGAATTCAGCAATGAAATGATTGACCATTCGATTGTCAAAATCTTCTCCACCTAAGTGGGTGTCTCCAGCTGTAGATTTCAGTTCAAAGATTCCATCCTCAATAGTGAGGATTGACACATCAAAAGTGCCACCTCCTAAGTCAAAAATCAGCACAGTTCTTTCAGCTCCAACCTTTTTGTCTAAGCCATAAGCAATAGCAGCAGCAGTTGGTTCGTTGATAATTCTAAGTACATTAAGACCAGCAATAGTTCCAGCATCTTTGGTTGCCTGACGCTGAGAGTCATTGAAGTAAGCTGGCACAGTGACCACAGCATTGGTAACAGTCTTGCCTAGATAAGCTTCTGC